AGAGTAGAGTTTTTCCCTTCAAATTTCGACTCCAAATCGGTCACAATGGATGTTTTCACTTAGTGATGGAGTAGCTTACCTCATACCATCACTTACGTTCGCAACAGCTGAACGACACCACATAGTCCTGCCAAGCAAAGATGTTGAAACGTTCGAGCCGTCGATATCATTTTCTTGCACTGATGCACAGTCCCTCTCTACTCCACTGATGCTCCACTGGTAACTGCGAATTGAGGTGAGGCTCGAAAATGCCATCACGGGTTTCCCTCGCTCTCCTACTAGAGGTAACCGAACATATTCCATGCGCCAAGCGCTGATCCCCTGTTCGGGACACCAGGTTACCACGGTGACACGAATAATGGCATGACCAGCGAAGACATTCATCGGATTGCTAAATCAATTAGTTAGCTTCTATTTTTAGCTCTGACTCAAGAATCATGTAATTCTGCTCACCGCGAAGCAGAGCTTCAGCCGAGCCCACTAGCTCGCCACGGATGGTCAGGGAAAGCAGCCACTGGACCTGTTGAACATAGTGATGTTGTTTGGACTGCAAGCTACCAGAGCTCTCACCAACTTAGAACCATGATCTCTAGGAAATTGTTCACTATTGAGTGGATTGAGGACATAGCGCGATGCCTTCACGAACAGGCCTGGTTGAACTTGTCGGCGATGGCAGATGTCTTCATATTTTGAAGGATTTGGAGACAATGGGCGACGGATTACTTCTGCTTACCATTAAAGATCCAAAAAATATTTTAGTGGGAGGCATTCGGCTACTTCTCTTGCCTGTGGAATATGAAGCTCGGGTGATGCGCGTCGCGAACAAAGGGCTTCTCTTTCCCCCTCCCCTTATATGTCCAACTTAGAGCATGAGAATAGGATAAACCTTTCTGTTTGCGGACTATCTGTCTTGCAGGTGGATAGGATTGTACCACGCAGGTAATCGCGGAGTGTGTCTTTAGGTTCAGCTCATCTTGAGGACTTCTTATGGCATCTGTTGCTCCACAGTGCCTTTATAAATATTTACTGTTTTCATCGTTCAGTGCTAATAAAAGGTTAAACGGTGAGGCGCCCGACATTAAATAAGCACACTTTGAGTTTCCCCATCTACTGGTAAAAATGCATGTTTGGTCTGTTTGCTGTTTGGTCTGGGTTTGCCTGACCTATGAGCCAGACGATGTATAAGTTAGCGATTTACTTCTCCGCCGCCACTCTCCCCCTTCCCCCGAAGGATCCGGAGCCTCCAATCGATCCGAAGGGATGCGAATACCCATTAGGTCAAAGCTGGGATTCCACGGACTACGTATATAGCAGTATCGTCACTTCCCACTAATCTAGTCACTCTTAATTAACGAATAGTTCAAATATATTTAGGAATGCCTTAAGGATACACCATTAACGGTTTTTGTTACAGTGTTCGAAGTATCATGCAAAAATATCTGGAAAAGACGGGCGAAATCAAGTTCGAGAAGATTTTCAATCAGAAACTCGGCTTCTTGTTACTCAAAGATTTCGCAGAGAACATCGCGGAAAATGCCTGCCCACAGATCAAATTCTACGAAGCGGTGGGTTTTATTTGAATTGATTTGCTTTTTGGTGTAATTTCCCCTCTCATCTGTCTCTTCTGTTCTATTGGCCCTTCGTCGCAG